CATTCCTACATGCCCGAGCAATATTTTTATACTCTTCCCTGGTCATATGTCCAACCTTCCACTTCTTGTAAGCTTGTAAGATGATGAAGATGTCATCAATATAGCGCAAGTAGAGTAGGGGCATTAGGGGACGAGAGCTGAGGAAGCGTTGTTCTAAGTCAGCCATAAAAATGTTGGCATACTGTGGGGCCATGCGGGTACCCATAGCAGTGCCGCTGGTTTGAAGGTATACATTGTCCCCAAATGTAAAATAGTTATGAGTAAGGACAAAGTCACAAAGTTCAGCCACCAGGTTTAAGAATAAATGGACACAAATCAGATGTCAAGAATGATAACATTCATAAACCAGTCGGAGAACACTTCAATCTCTCTGGTCACGCAATTAAAGATATGAAAGTTGCGATATTACAACAGAAAAACTTCAAATCCAGACTCCAGCGAGAAACTGTTGAATTGGAATTCATTTGCAAATTGGATACAATTAACTTAGACTTGAATAGAGACTGGGAGTGGCTAAGTCATTATGCAAGGTAACCTATTTCCCCTTGTTTTTTCCTTCCCCCCCTCCCCCTTTCCTCAGACGTTCTTGTTAAACCCTGGATTTGTGCTGGAAATGGCCCACCTTGATTATCATACACATTGTAAGGAGAGTGATCACGTTAGATAAGCTATTACCAACAGGAGAGTGGGTTTGTGGGGGGAGAGAAAACCTTTTGTAGTGGTAAACACCCATTTTTTCATGGTTTGTATGTGTAAGAACATCTTCTGTATTTTCCACAGTATGCATCTGATGAAGTGAGCTGTAGCTCACGAAAGCTTATGCTCAAATAAATTGGTTAGTCTCTAAGGTGCCACAAGTCCTCCTTTTCTTTTTGCGAATACAGACTACCACGGCTGTTACTCTGAAACCAGTTATACCAGTGTATCAGTAAAAATTCACCCCCGTAACCGTACAAAACCGGTCTGCAGATCAGGCCTAAGCAATCAATTGAAGCTAAATTGATATGGGAGTCTGACTGAGTTTCAATGTTGTGTGTAAAAAGAACTAATAATAAAACCTAGCTTGTATCTTGCACTTTTCATCTGTAGATTTCGAAGCACTTGGCAAAGGAACTCAGTGTCACTATCCTCATTTTACAGATGCGGAAACTGAGGCACAAGGCAGCAAAGTGACTTGCTCAAGGTCACCCAAGTCAGTTGGTGGCAGAGTGCCATTCCAATCGGTGCAAGTCCAGCATTCAGACAGACACGTACTGGAGTGTGGGCGTGAGTCACGTCCCGAGAAGCCGGAGCACTTGAATTTGCTGCTGCAATTAGGTTTTTAATAAAGATTCTTAATGAAGCTCCTGCGATTCACATAGGAGATCCCAGGCCATTAGCATCTGAATACTGAAGTTACAGTAACCTGACGAAATGCAGTTTGGGTGACCCCCTAACTACGCAGCACCTGCATGTTGGCAGGTGACTTTAAGGTGTTCCTTCCCTGCTCTAAGCAAACACAGTTTTTGCCTGAGCTCTTTAACTATTTGGATGGCTTTTCAACCCAGAACAATCCTTGTCTGCTGGGCTGCCTCAGTAGAAAGCTACAGACAAATCTCAGTTCCCTGTGCCAGATTTCCAAAAGATCTCAGGGCCAGATTGCCACCCACAACCCGCAGCTGAGGCTGGCATCATCAGATTCTTTGGACCCTAGGCAATCAGCCTCCAGCCCAGACTAAGGCATGGGAATGGGGTTAATCTCCTCACAGCAATGGACAGAAGCCATGTGGCCTGGCTCATACCAGTAGAGCAGTGACCTTCGACCACGTCACCCATGAGGTGCTGCTAACTTTGCCTAAGGCCCCTATTCTTCTAGTATCTGAGCACCTCACAATCTTTAATGTATTTATCTTCACTCACCCCTGTGAAGCAGGGCAGTGCTATTATCCCCAATGTATAGATGGGGAACTGAGGCACACATAGGCTAAGTGACTTGCCCAGGGTCACACACAGGAAGACTGTGGCAGAGAACTGAACACTGGTTTCCCGAGCCCTACACTAGTGCCTTAACCACTAGACTAGCCTTCCACTTCTGAAAACTCCAGTACGGGACCTGGCAGGTCTGGACAGTATCACTTTAAACCAGTTCCATTCACTCCTGTCCACAGGGACCCAAAGTGTGGCACCGCCAGATTGTCCCATCTCAAAGGGACTCCCAGCTCTGGAGTCCTGTAGTCTTTGTTTAGTGATTACAGAAAACTGCTTGGGGCAATCGTGAGGCAGGATGGGCTACAGAGCCAACACCGTGCTGATGGCGCACTGATCTCCAGCTGGCCCCCGACGGAGCTCTCTGTCTGCTCGCCCAGAGTCTGGCCGAGATGGGTCCCTGGAGGCAAGCATCAAACAGATAAGATGGAGCTGATGCTGGCTTGCAAAGGAAGCACTGAGCAGCTGGTTAAGCCTGTGGCCACTCCCTCAGATGCAGGCATCTCCCTGTCTATTGCTGAGGTGGCTCCCAATCTCTGGGGTTTGGCAGGTGCCTGCCACTGCCCCTAGATGCCCAGATTGCTTCAGTGGCCAGAGACACTTTCTTTCCCCCACAGTTGGTCAAGGGCTGGCACATTGCTTCCTTCGGGATGCAGGCCTCATCATGGTCCCCTTCAGAACGGACCACCAGCTCTACCTCAAAGGCCACCTGGAAGCTTTGGCTACTGCAGAAAACGTCTTGCCACCTGCCGAGCAAAACGAGCTGGCGTGAGCGCATCACAGCGGCGCTCCACTTCCTGGTGAAAGGGAAGGTGCTGGTTACAGGGCCCAAAATGACACAAGCCCAGGTTACCTAAGAAACTGACTCTCCCCCCTGACTCACCCCACCATCGGAAAACTCGGGCTGTCTGTCCCAGGAAGGAGTCAGAGGTTGGGAATTCTCAGCAGCAGCCTCTGGCTTCTGGAATTCATTCCCGCCAGAAATATGGCTCATCCCGGACCTGGTGACATTTAGAAGAGGTTGCAAGGTGCATCTTTGTGTCCAGCCCTCCTGCTGACTGTGATCACGAAGAACCCTGGTGGGTGAGGTAGTAGCTTTTACTGGACCGACTGAGAGCCCTGGCATTTAACTGACTGACTTAGTTTCTCCGAGTCTACCCTTTAAAGCTGCAGTACCATGAGATGCATTTACTGACCTCCTTCATAAAGGGCTTTGAAGTCCACTGATGAAAAGTGCTACATACGAGCTAGGTATTGAAGTCTTTAAACCATAATTTGAGGACTTTGGTAAGTCAGTCAGAGGTTAGGGGTCTATTACAGGAGTGGGTGGGTGAGGGTCTGTGTCCTGTGATGTCCAGGAAGTCAGACTATGACCATGAGGGTTCCTTCTGGCCTTAATTCTGGCCTTATCGTTATGATTCCCAATGTGGATAATTAAATGCTTCTAATCCAAACTGTGTAAAGGGCCCCGAAATACCATGCACCCTAGAGCTGCACCCAAGGGTGCTAGAACTAGGGCTGCTGGGGTGTAGCAGCGCCCCCTGGCTTGAAGTAGTTTCCATCATATCCAGGGTTTACAGTTTTGGTCAGTGGCTCTCAGCACCCCCCAGTGTACAAACTGTTCCAAAGCCACTGGACACACACAACAATAAATCGCGACTTCAGCTGTGCCAATCAGCATCAGTTGAAATGGACCTGCAGACTCATGTCACCCAGGCCACTGGACAGGCATCAGAGGTAACAAGTTCCAGCCACCACTTACTGGGGCTGGCTTTGAACCGGTGACCTCGAGGAAGAGCCCCAGCTGTCTTCTGCCTGTTTCTGGTCAGCTGACATTTCATGACTTTGTTGTCTACCTTTGGGGGCTTCCCCTGGCCTGAACCCCAATAGTCCATTGATGGAGCCATGTTTTCAACAACAGCAAACTCCTGTGACTCCCTTGTTCCTACAAAATACACGTCTGCACGCAGAAAGACTGAGCTGCTCAGGTAACAACCCCAGACATCTGGACACACAATGATGGGCTGGCTGCCCAGTGGAGCCTAATGGAAATCCAATCTGCAGCCAGCGCCCTGTGGTCTTTAATGCAAAAAAAAAGGTCATGATCCATGCTGCCTGAAAGGACTTGGGCCAGAGGGTTTGCTGCCAGAGAGACTGCGTTAAGAATTCGGGCAAGGCTGGTTAATCTCAATAACTGGCTCCAATTTTTTCCCCCCTCCTGCTTGGCAGAAGTGCTGGCTGGTTGATTCCATCTCAGCCACAAAGTCACGACAATATTTAAAATAGCCTCAGACTCGGACCGAAACCCTCCGGCAGCGTGACCCAGACTCATCCCGGATGCCAACACTCCCGGCTGTTAAAAGCATTTGGGGTGAACAGGCTTGCAAACCCCTGGGGAAAGCCCCCCTCCCAAAAGGAGCATGACTGGGACAGGAGGGTTCATCAGCTGAACGGGGGGCTGGATCCCCGGGTTGGAATGTAGCCATATATATATCTATATATATATTTGTAATCCAGGTTGTTTCTTGATGCCTCAGGCAGGTTGAATTCTGCTCACCAGCCGCAGGAGTCAATCCAGTGTAACTCCACTGCCTTCGCGCTCACTCTGCATTGACACCCATGGAACTGGGAGCTGAATCTGGCCCTGCATTTTTAGAGCTGAGGCCCCCAGATCCGACCCCCATCCCACCAGGATTTATACAGGCCCAGAACTCGGGGAGCCCTTTTCACTGTTTTTATGAATGAGTGGATTGGTTCTCAGCAGGGCTGAGTCCCCATCCCCCCCATTACGTCAGTGGGCACACCGGCCCTCTGCGAACCCGGCCAAAGGTTCCTCTTGTCGGGTCCCTTCCCAGCTGCTCAGGGAAAATGAGTTAGGCAGAGGTGGAGAGAGCTCAGGTGCCAAGGATGGATACAGCTCCCAGTGTGGGGCGTAGAGACACTCTGGCTCCATTCTGCGGAGACATGCCTCCCTCCCCAGTTCTTGCCGACCTGGGCTGGCCCAGGTTCCTTTCAAAACCTGTTTCCTCACGTACCTGCTGGCCGGGGCTCCTGCCGCGCAGACGGCTCTCCCCTCCGCTGCCGAGAGGTCCCTGTCGTGGCACAGGCTCTGTTCCTGCCCGTCCCGTCTCTGCCTGGGGCTGGGCTCTGATCCTTGCAGAGGTGTCACCAGGCACCCTGGGACTGGGCGGACCTGCCCGGTCACCCCAACAGTACCCTCCCTTTGCCGTGTGAAGGTTTGGAATTCCTTGTGTGCTGCCAGCTGGAGAGCCGGTCTGGCTGGTTCCCCATGACATTGCTCATCCATTTTCTGCAACTCAGCAATCCCCTGAGAAACTCCTGCCTCCCCAGGTGACTTCGCAGCTCCGTGGGAACCCGGTCCATTCCCACAGACCCTAGGCCGATCCTCTGCTCCGCTCTTCGCACCCTCTTCCTGCTCCTTGGTCAGAGTGATCATTACCTCGTAACGGATCTTCGCAGGCCTCTTGGCAGGGGCGGGTTCAACCCGATGGATAGTCTCCAGAGGCCATTCCGGGCTCTCCCTGCCTATTGCAGGGTCCTCTGTCCTGCTGATCCGATTATAGGCAGGGCTGGTGAATGGACAAGTCTCTGGTTCAGAGATGGATTCTCTGTGGCCATGGCTCACATGGTCTGGCTGTCCCGCCACCTTAGGGCGGAAGGTCCCTGAGTCTAAATACTCTTGGAAAACTCTTTCAGCCCACTCTGTCAGAGGCTCTGAGGCTCTGCTGGGTTCCTCCTGGGAAGCTGGAAGCTTGTAGTCTTCCTCCTGCGTCTCAGGGCTGGTGGGGAAGTCCAGGGAGGAGCTGCTGATGGAAACAGACCCTCCCCAGGAACTCCCATCTTCTTTGCCCAGCAGAGAGTCAAAGGATGTGAAGATTTCCACCTGGCTGGGTATGGCTGGCTTCGAGTTCCCTGTGTCCCTGGGCCAAGCAGATGGCTCTGCAGTCTCTTGCTCTCTGGCCAGGTTCCCAGCAGAGCACAGGTCAAGACGGCCTACCATATCCAAATCACTGCCGACCGCTGGTCTCTGTAGCCGCCCGAAAGGCCAGGGCTTGCCCAGTGAGCTCCCCAGGTGTCCTGTACCACCAGCGCCGGTGCCTGAGAGCTCCAGATGGCTGCTTTGCCGCCTCCGCCAGGGCAGGGTCCCAAACGTCCGCAGGAGGCCGTTCCTCCAGAGGTCGGACTCCGAGTAGCTGAGAGCATGCAGCTGTGGGGGGAAGGAGAGGGAATCAGGAGTGGGTGCACAGGCAGGAGGCAGTAAGCAGCCACTAGAGTGCTCCTTCCCCACACAGCAGCACGGAGGTGCTGGCTAGCAGGAGCACCAGCGAGAGCCCCTGCCCTGCGCCAAGGCTCACAAGGGCAGGATCCTGCACATGACTGGCCTGGAGGCTGGAATTCTGTGTGTGTCCCCGCACCCCTTGCAAATGCTTGGTGTCGCCCAAGCCCCTGGTTCTAGAACTGATTCACGTCCACGCTGCTGGGTTTGATCGGAGCAATGGGGAAAACTCCAGATACGCCCCAGCATCCTAGTGCTGGCATCCCAGCCCTGCAGAGCGCCTATCCGCCGGACAGGGGCAGCACGGGCATCGGCAGGGCAAGCCACCCTCACCCAGCCCTGCCTGGGCAACTTAGGGCTGATCCAGACAGGCCTGCCCCGTCTCCACGGCTCGTTCAACACTTAGCCTCTGCTGAGTCAACAACACAAGAGCTAGTTGTGATGTAGCTTTGTCACAGCGCACTGGACTCACACTCCCGCTGCCTTCCCATTTGCTTCACATCTATGGGGATGAGATCTGGTTTCTGGCTGGCCTGGAACTGGCAAGTGAGAGAAGATCCAGAACCCAGAACCCATCTCCTGAGCCACCTTCTCCCAGATAACTGCATTTCCACAGTGCCCGGGGCTTGCCAGCTCCTGCCTGTGGGTCTTCTTCAACAGTGCATCGTGATCCCTGTGCAGAGACGGCTCCCACATGGGGATCTCTGTTAACAGGGGCAGGCGGGCAGACCTGCATCTCAGCCAGATTCTCCAGCTGGAAAAGGAGGGAAGTGGAAAGTGTGAGCCCAGGAGACAGCTGGTCCAGCAGGGGCAGGATCAGAGTGTCCTTCCCTTGCTCCCACGGAATCAAGGCAACTCCAAGAAATGAACGAGAACTCAGGCCCCGCAGGGGAGGGGATCCAGGAGGTTGGCCAGCGCCCCTCATTTTGTCTCTGGCTGTCAGTTTCGGCAGCTCCCGTGCAGATCAGCGGTGCCGCACAAGAGGTGGGAGGGTTCTTAAGAGAAAGCCCTTCTCCCAGTTGCTGGGGGAGTGGAGTAGACCCCACGCTCTAGGAGATCTTGGTGCTCCTGTCACTCAACAAGGCCTGTCCCCTGTCCCACTGGGTTAGGTCAGGGACTCCATGTCCCTGGACTATGGGAGCTCCTAGTCACTGAACGAGATCCCAGCCCAACTCACGGGGAAAGTCCTAACCTCTGACTCAGCAACTAAGGCGCTGGTCCCTGTGTCACTGGACCAGGTCCAAGTCTCTGTGTCGTTGGATTATAGTAAATCCTGCTCACTAGAGGAGATCCCAGTCCCTGGGCTAATGCGGGAGGCCTGGGCTCCTGATCCAGCAGATAGGAGGTAGCCCCTGTGTCCCTGTCTCTGGGGACGTGCAGGCTGGCAGCAGAAGGGATCTGACATGTAGCAGCAGAGCGAGCACCAGCCTTACATAATCCCCATTGGCCCCGACACCGTACCAAGCAGCTAGTGGTTCCACTTGCCCCAGCTGAGCCAGGCTAGGACGTAGCTCCAGCCTTCCCCTGGGGCAAGGCGCTGAGCAAACAGCCAAAGGGGCTCCACCCTCCGGAGTCACTGGTGCAGCAGGAAGGAGCTGAAGCTATTAGACACAGGCCAGTGGAGCACACGTGTTCCACAGACACCTGGGGAGATTAGATCCCCCACTTTCACACGTTCCCTCACCCACCCCATGGACAGCTTCCAACGAGAATGGTGCTAACACCAGGAGTGACTCGCGCAGCCCAGAGCAGGGACCGGGATTGGGGCAGGTTTCTCTCCTTTAATAGACACTGGGTTGTTTTCTGTCCTGTACGTTCCTAGGCGTTCACTGGGCTGATGGGCTCTAGAGCCAGGCTCTGCGCAAGCTCCCCACCAACGCCCCTCAGCTCTGATGAACAGGCTGGGGTAGCAGCGTCTCTGCTGAAGTTTGGGGATCCCTGCACCGTCCCTGAGCAAATTCTTCTCTGGAGTCGCAGATCCCTGCTCTGACGGAACGCAGGGAGCGGAGGAGAAACGTGCAGGAACCCCAGAGCGGGTGTGTTTCTAGAGGAGGCCTCAGGATGTTTGCCATGGGAACAGACCAGGTTGTAGATACAATCAATGACTGCCATAGAGTGTTGCCCACTCTCACAATTTTATCATGAAGCTTGTGACATTTCGTGGTTTTCTTAAAGCCCCAGTTCCTGGAGTCAGGTGATCACACGAGACTCTCAACTTCCATTAAAACGAAAGTAAGTGCCTAGCCCTCATGATTGCTGAGAAAAGCCCTTAAGCACAGACAGAAGGCCCATAAAAAGAACCCATCATTTATTGGTTTTTAAAAATCTCATGAGAGTTTAAGCCCATCTCATGATTCTGCGGGGCTGACTTATGGTTTTTGGCCACTTGTGATTAGCAGTACTGGCTCCACTCTCTAACTGTACTCCAAACCAGCCTCAGTTACCAAACTACTTCCAATTCAAATCTTCCCCTGATGGTTTCTGCTCATCTGCTTGCCCTAGCATCACAAACACCCACAGAAGGAACATCATGGTGGGGGATTTGGGGGCCCCATTAAATGATGGGAAAAATCCCATCCTCTTACAGCCATGTCCCTGCAAAGCACAGCCTAGATCGCACATGCTCAGTTCCTGCCGCAGCGCCAGGCTAGGTGTCTTGCAGATATTATTTACCATGATGGATGGACAGACAGGTGAGAGACAGAGGGAAACACAGACAGAGAGAGCTGGAGAAAATATATAGATGCACATATGTTTTCCCCAGTTAGGGGAGCTCGTCCCTCCCCAAAGCTGTCCCAGCCCACTGGCTTTCAGTGGGGTTTAGTGATGGGCCCATGTGTTTCCCCCCAGACCTCCCTGTTTATGGCTTTCAAATGCTAGCCGGGTCAAAGCATGGACAGAATTACATGGGAAACAGGAAATTCCAAAAAGAACGAGGAGTACTTGTGGCACCTTGGAGACTAACAAATTTATTTGGGCATAAGCTTTCGTGGGCTAAAACCCACTTCATCAGATGCATGCAGTGGAAAATACAGTAGGAAGATATATATACACAGAGAACATGAAAAATGGGTGTTGCCATACCAACTCTAATGAGACTAATCAATTAAGGTGGGCTATTATCAGCAGGAGAAAAAAAACTTTTGTAGTGATAACCAGGATGGCCCATTTCCAACAGTTGACAAGAAGGTGTGAGTAACGGTAGGGGGAAAATTAGCAGGGGAAAATAGTTTTTACTTTGTGTAATGACCCATCCACTCCCAGTCTTTATTCAAGCCTAATTTAATGGTGTCCAGTTTGCAAATTAATTCCAGTTCTGCAGTTTCTCGTTGGAGTCTGTTTTTGAAGTTTTTTTGTTGAAGAATTGTGACTTTTAGGTCTGTATATATATCTATATATATCTTCCTCCTGTATTTTCCACTGCATGCATCCGATGAAGTGGGATTTAGCCCACGAAAGCTTATGCCCAAATAAATGTGTTAGTCCCCAAGGTGCCACAAGGACTCCTCGGTTTTTTTTGCTGATACAGACTAACACGGCTGCCCCTCAGGAAATTCCAAGGCATTGCTCTGATTGTCCTGTAGTACTCCTGAGCTCCCAAGAGAGGGAACCCTCGCCCCACAGGAAATGGCCCTCAGCCTGCTGCTTCTGCAGAAGTCAGTGAGATCAGCAGGAAGGGAGAAAGGCACCCACAGCAAAGCTATGATGAATCCCCAGGGGGTCTGGTAACTAGAGTAAGGGATGGTTGGGGAGCCAGGACTGCTGGGTTCTGTTCCTGATTCTCCCCTGCTTTGCGCCTTGTGTCACCAATTTGCTCCTGTGGAGAGCGAGTGTGAAACACTACCCAATAACAATGTTGGTTTCAGAGTAACAGCCGTGTTAGTCTGTATTCGCAAAAAGAAAAGGAGTACTTGTGGCACCTTAGAGACTAACTAATTTATTTGAGCATGAGCTTTCGTGAGCTACAGCTCACTTCATGTTGTAACTGACACCTCGAGGCTGGGGAGAATCTGGCCCCCAGGGTCACTGATCCTGGCAATTTCCCATCCCTGTGCTTTAGTTTCCCCATCTGTCACCGGGGAAACGAGACTGCCCCACCTCCATGGGGACGGGTCTGAGGCATCACTCATTAACGTTTGTGATGCGCTTTGCGAGCCTGGAGCATCTGTCTCTCTTGAAGTGCAAAATATCATTAATCAGTGATGCCCCACGCCCACAAGCCTCACTGTACCAGCACAGACCCTTGCCCGCAGAAAGCAGCCAGACAAGCCTCTGGGATACTCCCCTCCCTGGATGGAGGAGGCCTCTGATGGGAGAGGCACAGAAGGCTGCAGTTCTGAAAGCAGGATCCCTCCTCCTGGGGATTTCAAGTACAATTATCCCCATTTACAGGTGGGGAAACTGAGGCACACAATGATTCAGCAACTTGTCCAAAGTCCCAGAGTAGGTGAGTGGCAGAGCCAGGAAGAGAACCCAAGTCCCTGGGTCCCCTCTTCAACCACTAGACCACACTCCAGCCCAGCTGGAGAACCTGTCTCCTTAAACCTCACATGTGCCAGGGCGGCCAGCCTCAACAGCCGGGCCAGCCTCAGGCATGTGCAGTGGAGCAGACTGGCCACGGCCTTGCGCTCTGAGCGGCCCAGTGCCCAGGGTCCCTGCTGCCAGCAGCACAAAGGGCCGAGCGACCCCGGGGTCACGTGTTGGAGAATCGGGCAGGCCTCTGGGTATCCGTTACCAAAGGAAGGAGAGTGACCCGCTGGCTCTGCCCAGGGGAAGCTCACAGGCCTCTCCACAGCCCCTTCTGCCCCAGGAGCTGAGCCATCCTGCACGCCCCAGGCCAGACACTTATCCTTTCCACAGCCATTCACGCCAGAGAGGCCTCACCTTCGAGGATGACTTCCGGGGCCCGCTGGGATGGGGGCGCTCCTCGCTGCGTCTTCCCCCAGCGGAGATCTTGTCCTCCTCGGCCATCCTAGAGTGAAGCGCAAAGTCCATGGGAGACAGTGGTGCTAGTGATGGGCCCAGAGCCCATCCTGCCTGACCTCGGGGAAAGCGCTGAATCCAAACTGCCTGGCTCAGACCCCGCTCCAGGTGGAAAGAGGGGAGTACCTGGGCTTTTCAGTTGTCTCCCAACGATCTCAGACCATCATGAGAAGAACCAACGTTTCTCTCAGAAGGCAGAACCCTCCAGTCTATGAGCACAGGCTCCCTCGACTCTATCTGGAGGGACTTTGCTGCCCACTTCCCCATCCCATCGGGTAGGACAGGAATGCATCTTGTTTGGCCTGGGTGTTGGCCTCCTGAATCTACAGCCCATTCTGAGGGGTACAGGCTGGACACGTTGACTTTGAGGTTCACATGGACCGAGCACCATGGATTCAAGCTATGTACAGACCAGATACTGCAAAAAAGATCATGCTGAATGAAGGTGTATATGGACCAGGCAGCGGGACTGTATCCCTTGTGTATGGACCAGATACCCTGACTGTGAGATGCACGTGGACAGGATGTATTGACTGCTGGGGTGTGTATTGACTGGATGGGTTACATTACTCCAAGCACTGATTAGATTCTGAAACCACCAGGTTGTATGTGGTCTGGACACGGTGACTACAAGCTTGGACCCATTAGGAAAGGGCCTAGCAGGCCAGATAGCGACCTGTTCACACAAAGGCGACACGGACAAGAATTCAGCCCCCTTCCTCAAGCGTGCCAGCCTAGGGGCTGCTCCCGCTTCCTTATGGGCTGGGAATGAAAGACAGACCCAGATCCTAGTCTCCTATCAAACCTCCCCAGGCTGACTCAGCAGCGGGACTGCTTCCCAAAAGGGCTCCTATAAACACCCCAAGAGCAAAGGAGGCCCAATCTGTACGGCCACAGCTCAGCACGTCCCTGGGTGGGGAGCGTGTGAGGGGGATAAACGTTCACAGCTGAACGCGGAACATGCCCCTAGTGCGCACACACGCCTAGCCCTGTGCCCGTCACAATCACAACATGCACATGGACAAACGTGCCCACCAGATGCAACACGCCTTGTCAGGCACATGTGAAAACACACCTATACACACATGCCTGTCACAGTCACTCACGTGCACACACAAACCCACCCATCGCACTGAGGGGCAAACACCCCACACACACACACGTGTGCAGTCGTCCCCAGGCCCAAGCTAGCACACCCCTTCTCCCGCAGCCAGAAGCTGCAGCTCACCCATTGCCCGCCTCCGGGGGGGCTCACCTCTGCAAGGACCCCTGCAACGTGCTCCTCTTCTCTTTCCTCCTGCCCTTCCCTTTCCCATCCTGGTGGCTGGCAGCTCCTGGGGCGCTGGGGCCATCCCAGCTGCCCTCCTTCCTCTGCAGCTCTGTCAGGCTGATCTCACTTCTGGAGAAGAGCTGGGCGAGCCGCCTCCTGATGCCCCCTTTCTTGGCTCTGGGGGGGTCCCGCTGCGGGGAGCCCGCCTGGTCCTCGGCCCTGAGAGACATTAGCAACCGGAGGGCTAGAGGCCAGTGGAGGGTGGAGCCGGGAGCACCGCTCCCCACGCACCCAGCCGGCAGGGACAGACAAGCCTCCTCTTGCTCCCTCCTTTTCTTAGCCAGGAGCCGGCGTGCGACCCACCTGGGAGAATCCGGGTGTGTGTGCTGGGGAGGGAGCGGGGAGTAACACCTGCTGCGGCAGTGCTGACAGATCCAGCCGTGCCCAGCTGGGAGCACGGCTAGAGCGGCCCCGGGAGGACTGTGGGGCCCAGGCGGAGGGCCTGGTTACCGGGGCTGTTACCTGGCATTGGGAACTCGAGCCCGGTCACATGAGCGCGACCGCAGCCTGGAGACAGGTGTTCAGCGTAACCGCCCAGGGAAAGTGGGAAAGCGCCCAGCCCAGGCCTCGGACGGTGTGTGGCAGGTGTGGGGCTGGGATTTGAGACTCAGTAGCTCCGGGAAAGGATCCTACCTGCTGTGTGTTTGTTTAGAGAACAAACAAGGCAGATCTCAGCAGCCCGGGTCCGAGGGGAAAGTCTCACCTAGGCACTGACTCAGAAAACAACAAACAGTGAGGCAGGCTTCCACCTTTTGGAGGCCGATCCAGGCCTCTCCAAAGGCTGAGGGGCTGGATCAGGCCCATCTCTACTAAGCAGGCCAGGGGAGATCGAGTGGGTGCTCTCATGGATCTTTTACATCCCTCACTTGGGTAGAGGAGACCCCTCTAAGGAGCCCCCTTCCCCTGCGTTATCAGGAGGGGAAGGGGGCTAAATTTGATCATTACCCCCATTTCCCAGATTTTGGGGTGACTTCCCAAGTCTGGTCTGAGACGCAGTACCTGAGTGGGGGCAAGGGAACCCTGGCGCTCCTGGCTCCCAGCCCCACTAGCCGTATCCTCCAAAGAGCCTACCTGTTATGAAGTGGCAGAGCCTCATAACAAATCTTCAGTCCACTGTCTCTCCATATTCCCCCTCATGGAGAGGTTGTGCCCTAGATAAAAGTCTGGGAAGGGGCCTTTTGGGCATTGTTAATAATAATTAATAACTTACATTGATATATTTACCTAAAGGATCCTAAAGCACTTTATATACGGATCACTTCATCCAACGTTATAATGCAGCCACCTCTGGGGTGGAGCACAGCAGCTGTTTTGCTACATACAGCAACACTGCACAACAGTTTAGGACAGGAAGTGAGGAGGAATACTGTATCCTTTCCAAATCCTAGGGGGATTTCGGGCTGCAGATTGCAGTTCCCTGAGTTGGAATTTAGCCACAACAATGGGGTTAACATCTCCACGCAGGCAAAAAGTGCCTGGGATCTTTAATGACCATAGCTATGCAAACCCAAGGCCAGGGCTCTCAGTTGAAAGATGGCTCCCCCAGCAGCACCGCTCCCGCTCATGGAGGACAGGGTGCTGGCTCAGCACTGACTCACTGGAAACAGACTCAACAACTTCAGTGTCTGCTGCCAGGTGGGTCTCCCATCCAGGGGCTGAAACCCAGCCCAGGCCTCCTTAGCACATGGCACCGGAGAAGGTCGCACCCCAAGGTGATGCTGTTGTATGGAGGGCACTACTATGTGGAACTTACCCCATGGGTCCCAACCGTTGGATCTCAAAAACAGGGGGGGACTGGCAGCACGGGTGCCCCAGAAAATGAAAGCTAACAGGCCCAGGTGGCCCCTCTAGTGGACCCCACCCCGTTGCCATAGCTCTGCCCCAGCGAGAGTGGGAGCAAGGCCCTGGAAAGTCTGTGGAGCCCAAGCAGAGGGACCCGTTACCAGGGCTGTTACTTTGAGCCCTATCACATGGGTCCCCCTAGGGACACCCCACACAAGGGCCACTGGCCGAGCTGGTGGGGAGTTTATTACCACTCCACTGTGGGTAGGCTGGGCTTTCCCACCCCTGCCCTCTTGCTCCCTGCATTCCGGCAGGCTGGGGTCTGCCCTAAAGGTGGAGGTTTAAGCTCCCACCCACCGGAGCTGAAGACTCTGCATAGCACACCTGGGCCCTGCCATCTTCACCCCTGCAGGGTGACAACAGTGAGGGCCCCCTCCCAGAGCAGTGGGTCTGGTAGCAAACAGCCCATTGAGATGACTGGTGCAGCTCAGCCTTCTCAGAGCTCTTGGTTCAGGCTCTCTGCAGACTCAGGAAGCCGCCACTGCACTGGTTGTATTCATGGCGCAGCTTCAAGTTTTTCTTGGCCCCCACGAGGGCCGGAAACGTAATTCTTTTACAAATGAAAGCTGAGCTTTGGGCAGCAGCAGTGACTTTAGCAGCAGAGGCCTATGGGGCCCATGGCTTAATCCAGCCCTGAATGCTGGTCATGTCTTTCATGCCAAAGCATCCCAACATCCCCTCGCAGAGGCAGCACCAGGGAACGAATGCACCAGGCTGAGAGTCCTGGAAACCTGAATCCTCTGGGTATTAATATTATGATGTCTGATGTGTACTGCAGTCATGCCCAAGAGCCCCGCTTCTGCCCCAGGACTCCGTTGGGATAGGTGCTGTACAAACACAGAACCAAGAGACACATGGTCCCTGCACCAAAAAACTGCCTCCTCTCTTGGCCAGCGTGCTTCAGCCCTGCATTAGAGGGACCCCATCTAGGACCTAGAGGGGAGCTCAGTCTCCGAGACCCACTCAGTGAGTCTGCCCACAAGGGGGCCAGTCAGTGCCAGTTGAGAATGGGGGTGGGGATTTGAGATGTGGACACCTGGTGTGAGACGCCCCAAACATTTCACACAGGCCATTGGCCTGTCACCGCAGCCACCAGGCTGGCCTGGCACTATTGACCCGAGTCACCTTCAGCAACCTTCAGATGGGAAAGACCCTGTAGGTCAGTGCCGGTCCGCTGACCCACCCAGAGCCTTGCTAACCTCTCCGGACTCATCCCTGCTGCAAGTCCTGGGGTGGGGCTTGTGAGCCGCAGCCTCAGTCTGTCACTGAGTCCCTCTCGGGGTCCCTGAATTCTGTCCCAGCAGCCTGAAAAGGGGGTCTGAGAGTCCAGCGGAGAGTGGGAGGGAGCCAGGAAACATCAGGAGGCCAGGCAGGGGCTGGGAGATACACCCCAAAGGCAGGACTCAACAGGGGCTGAATTAGGCTGGGGACGGGCCCCTGAGGGAGGCGCTGGGAGCGCTACTGCTTGGGACTTTCAAAACCAGGCTGCCTCCTGCCCCTCAGAGCCAGATCCCCCCGGGGCTCTGCTGTACCCGGGGGCAGTACAAGGGCATCGCAGTGTTTGCAGTCGGGTCACTAGAGCCACATGAGACAAGCACAACGGGCAGCGTTTTCTAAAGCGCTGAAAATCCCCGGAGCTTCTGCAACGGAGAGCGACCAGGGTGCTTTAGAAAACCCTTCCCCGCGCCAGCACAGATGGGGTGGCCAGTGCCAACCCAAAGCTCTCAGAGCTGGGCCGAGGGTAAAAGTGAAGGACCAGCGGGGGGGGGGTCGCCTTCCCCCGAGCCTGGGGAAATCAGGCATGAGAAGTCCCTGG